GTGCACACTGGAAGAGTGTGAGAGTGTATGTGCACTGCAGGGAGGATAAGATAGTTTGACTGCATTCACAGCAGAGCAGTCGAAGCCTTGTCAGCAGGTCCCAGTCCCAAGACCTATGATAGAACATAAAATTTAACAAGGCTCACCAGGCTGTGTGTGTGTGTGTGTGTGTGTGTGTGTGTGTGTGTGTGTGTGTATGTGTGTGTGTGTGTCCTTATACAGTAAATACTTTGTCTGTATGTGGCTTAGTGTGTGTGTCTGTGTGATCACTGTGCTGTGCACAGGCAGTATAAATCTGAAGCAGAGTCAGATAAGACAGCTTGTTGTTCTGTGCGGAGCTGAGATAACATTAAGTGTACATCTTTATGTTATTGTGACTCAGCAGTCACTCGGTGGAAGTGTAACATTCACAGGTCAGAAGCTCTGGCTGAATGGGTTTATTCACACATCAGACTTTAATGTTACTCTGAAGAGTAAGCCAGTTCACATCGGGAACTGCAATACTCTGAGCATGAAAGGCTCTAAATCAATAAATCATACATTTAATATCATTAAATAAATTAACAGCATCACTACAATTCTACAGTAGATTGATGCTAATGAAAAGCGCACCCATCCATCTACTAGCTATATAGTTTATCCTGCAGATAGTCCAGGGGGATGAAACCAATCGCATTTCACACTGGGCGAGAGCCGGGGCGCACTCTGGACAGGTCGTCAATCTATCACAGGGGTGACACACAGAGACAACCACACTTGCAGGTGATATTAAATAAATAGAATAATTTAATAATATTTATATTTTTTAAATCACATGATGTTCTGCTACCATGTGAAAAAATGGAGAGATACAGCACATTAAGTTGGAACCCAAACAAGCAATTCATGCAGTGAACATGTGTGTATGTGTGTCCATTTGTTTTTTGGTGTGTTCATGCAGTAGTTCTGGGAGTGTGTGTGTGTGTGTGTGTGTGTGTGTGTGTGTGTGTGTGTGCGTGTGTGTTCCATGTTCCTAAACAGATGATAAGACATAGGAGAGGGGGTGGCTCAGAAAAACCTGAGAGTTGGCTGCTAATTTAAGCCAGATATACTGGACACTGTTGAAGGTGGCTCATTACCTTCCACTTCTTTTTATGCTGCTTTCTATCATCTTATCTGCTGAATTCATGATCCAGTCTACATTAGTTTTATTTGCCAAGAGTTAATTAAAAATGCTCACATAAGGCTGAAAGGATTTTGTGAATGTAAAGGAAGAGATGCAAAAATATACTGTATAGATGATACATTTCATAAATGGATATGAAATCAACAGCTGTTACTCAGTTACATCATAAATGTACTCATATTGCTGCAGTGAAATGGATTCTTTCAGACAATTTGCTCTATAAACTATAGAGGAAACAGTTTAGTCTGAATGAAATGAAAGGTCAGATGAGGTTTCAAAGACTACAAGGAAGTCTCTGACTCTGCTCTTCCCCTCCCGCTCATAAACCGATGTGGTCATAGTCTGCTGTTGTTGTGGGAGCACTGTCATTAAAAGAACCAGAGCAAAACAGTAACACCACCCACTGAACTTCTCTGTACACGATTGGAATCAGGTGGACAGGGATGCAGTGGGGAAAGGCACAAGATGACTTGTGATGACATTCACATTTATTTCACCCTCAGCTGTCTCTTGAGGTCCTCACCATCACCATGTGTGTGAAGGCTCTAACTGGAAAAGTAGCAAATGTTGAATAGTATTTTGTACAACTCTAACTCTTGGTTTCCTCATTGTGTGGGTCATCTTATTTCTTACCACAACAGTAATAATTTAGTTTTATTCAAATTAAAAATGAAGGTGGACAGTGAAGTAGCTATTCATAAATTAAGAAGACAGCGAGCTACTCTAAACCCATTCCTGTTTTTGAAGCCAAGCTATCCTGTTTGGTATTTTGGCATGTTTTCTCACTTTGACTCATCCCTGGGTTTCGTTTTTTGTGAATGAGAATAAGGAAACTACACCAAACTATAGAGAGTGTGTGAGAGAAAAATGGAGAGAGGAAAAAAAGAAAGGGGTGGAGAATGACCGTATTCAGTAAGAGATAAAGAGAGTGAGCTGGAAGAAGCTGATTGTGAAAGAAGCAGACAGGGAAAGATGGAACACATCAAAAGACTGAGGGAGAGAGAGAGTGGAGGCATAGTGGCTCAGTTCTGTGCCAGTGGAGGCACTGGAGTGACACCACTGTGGCAGACAAACTTACAGAGGCACACTCCCTTTTTCTGACCTGGCAGTTGGCATTGTAACCCTTCATAGTATATTTGGTTTCTCCTGCTTCTAAAAACCCTGAGATCTCTGCCACAAAAAGTATAAGAATGTTTCTGATTTGACTAATCCAGCTTGTTCTTCCTTGTCATCCACTGATCCAACACTTTCCCTATTTGGCAACAGAATGTTATCAGCTGTGGTCTAGAATAACTGGCTTCCTCCCTGCATGGTAAAGGAAAAAAGCCTATTCATAGTACTCTATATTATCATGGCTAACTAAGGCTAAGAGATAACAGACTCCCAATCAGCCTGAAAGAAGGAATGAAAGGAAATGACTGTGATTCAGGCTTTGAACTGTGAACCTTTTGTCATTAGAGATCTACCACAAGGTAACCTGTACCCCAAATGGCATCATCAGTATCATAAAATGGAACAGTCAGGGAGTCAACTAAATCTGCTGTCCAGTTACCCAAACTGGCATCGCTCCTCCCTGTGACATTCTGTCTGACTCAGTATGAGGTAGTGGGAATCAAACTCTCACTGACATCCAAATGTTCATTTTTACTGGCTGACTGCAGAGCTGCTTCAATGCTACTTTACCAAGGGAACCTGGAAAACAAACTGGGCATTAATAAAGAATAGATGAGGTAGGTGGTGGTATTTTCAGTGCTTGGGAGAAACTGCACTTCAGCAGTTCTACCCTGACACCTCCAAGACCCAATTTGCTGTGAGCAGTGATGGCTTGTGATATTTGCTGTAACACCAGTCATGGATTTGCTTCCTCTCTTAACTAGTAACCTGCTCTGTGCAGTGTTGAAGAACATCCTGTAGCACTGATGAGTCTGTAGTAAACTGTACTTCTGTGTCACTCAGTGAGAAATGCAAAACAGGAGCAATTCTGCCTTTTAGTACTGTTGTCATTGTTTTGCTATCACCATCTATATTATTTGGTTACTTTCATGGACTACCCACACTGCTGCGCATAAGAATTAAGTCTTTGTTGCAGTGCTTTATATTTCACTAACAGGTACCAGAGATGTAGAGATGTATCAGTTTCCCTACTGAGCCTCACACTCAGCAGAGGAACTCCTTCGGGGCCTGAGATTAAGGACAGTATGTTGGCATGTGCACAGAAGGTCCATATACTGATTATGAAAAGAACATATGGTCTGCATCTGTCATCTGAAATTTATACTTGTATTCAGAGGTGGAAGAAGTATTCAGATCCTTTACTTAGACAAAAGTAGCAAAACAACAGTGTAAAAAAAATACTACGTCACAAGTAAAAGTCTTGTATTCAAAATGTTCATAAGCTGGTTCTGAAAAGTAACTAGTAACTGAAGTTATCAAATAAATGTAATGGATTAAAAAGTACAATATTTACCTCTAAAATGTCAAAGTATGAAGTAACAGAAAATGAAAACACTCAAGTAAAGTACAGATACATCACAATTGTACATAAGTACACTACTTGGATAAATGTACTTAGTTACCTTCCACTACTGCTTGTAGTAAATAAGAGCCATTAATACCAATTTGTGTGATCGTGGCTGAGGTAGTAATCCTGAGGTACTGGATCAACTATGTTGCAGAGGAGCAGCTAACATGAAAACGTATGACTCTGCTGATGCTTCCAACATCACTGATACAGTGAGTATGTTATCACTGACTGTATGCTTCACAGGTGGGTATCAATATACACTGAGTGAGTATTAAATGCATCATGGAAAGATTACTCAGATCACTCGGAAGTAGATTCTGTGTGTAGGATCATGGAAGCTCTGAAGTACATCACAGATCCTAGTCCAGAGTGCTTAGACATCCAACCCACAAATGGGCAGTGCTTTTATGGTTCTACATGAGCAGACTGAAAAATCAGAGTAGGTGAATGCAAGAAGACAGTGTGGCAGATGTTCAGCTCTCGTTTGTGTATATGGTGTGTGGTGGGTGTGTGGGAACGTGATAACACCAACAATAGGTACAGTGTGTCTATGGCACGCTACAAGTTATGATTTGGTCTAAGGTTAGGACTAGATGAACTGCTGAAGCAAACACAGAGACACTCAGACATTATAAACAGTTACTAAAGTTGTCTCTAAAAGATGCTATTCATATGCTACCTTCATATTAGCGCGCCAACCATGAGGCACGTTGAACGTGTCCATTTCCAGCCATCCCATTGGCTCACACATTTCAAAGAACGATGTATTACATGAGACGTCATCAGTTTAGTTTATTCTTTGGCTATAATAACTCTTCCAGCCCGCTGTATGTGAGGTTTTATGTCAGAAGAATAATCGGGGCAAATGTATTCCACATTTCCAGAGCTGGCACAGCTGGATGTGGAGAAATGCAGATGTTGGTGATAGAGCAAACTAAATTGTTTTCAGACATATATATTTAATCTTAATGTAATTACATTTTAAATATAGTAGCTAAAGTGGAGAAAACAGCGTGGTCGGACACACCAGAGAGAGAGAGAGAGAGAACTAGTTAGGTGACAGCTGGCATGCCCCTTAAGTTTGCTGATTTTAAATATCGGATAACAGCCATATGATTTAAAATTGTGAAAGAAATCTTATGTATTATAAGCAGTTTGGAATATTAACATGCCCATAATTCTGATTTGAATGCAATAAATAAGCGTCCAAAGCACTTCTTCATATGAATGAGCGGCTTTTTGAGGAAACGTTTAGCACTGTCTGTCATCAGGGCGCAGGGCCACCAAACCAAATGATCTCTGGACGCTTACCTTGGAGCAGCCGTAGTCCTCTGGGTCCTCCTTGACAAAGGATGCGGTCACCTCTGATAATGTTCCACAGGGTTTAGAAAAAGTCTTGACAAACTTTGAAAGGACACTTGTGGAGTCGCAAGTCTCATAAATCCGCCCGAAATATTCCTCATTAATGAAAGAGAGTGGTTCACGCTCCTCTAGATTTGCTTAGTTGAGGGCTCAAAAATGACTCACGACTGCTTGTCTTTAGTTTGTCGTATATCTGCAGTCCTTAACAATGCACCACATGCATCTTTGGCGCACAAACACAGACATCATGTCAGTCAACTTTGGCATGATTCATATAAACGCTTATAAATAAAAAGTAGACTATGTCAAAATGATAAATATTGTTCCCCACAAATGTCTGACAATTTCATTCTTCTTTTGAAAGTTTTAAAAAGTTACAAAAATTCATCAGCTTTGGCAGCGTCAATCGCAGTCAGAAAAAAAAGGATTTCCAGCATTGGCTCTAATAATCAGTCAGATAGTTTGTTTTCTATCTCTCTCTCCTGAGGGCCATGGAGATAAGGCTTTCTGTAGGTTCCCAAAGCATCCAGACTTCACAGGGCACAGAGAAGTGGCCAAAAGGCTCTTTGTCGCTGTTTCAGCTGTCTAATTCCATCCAGATGGCTGTGTGTGGAGCCTCCTTTATGGCTGTTGTGGCTCCCAAACCCCTTTAACCAGGCTACAACAGATTGGCGTGTTGTTTTAATGAGAGGGGAAGGTTTGGGGGGTATAAGGAGGAGCAAAGGAGATGGGGGTGTGAGAGGGAGAGGGGGAGAAAGAGAGAGGGAGACTCATCCCAAGTCATTCAGACTTCTGAGGTAGCGACACTGAGAGACAGTCACTACTTGACCGCCCTCAGCGCAGCGCATGGCATGGGCATGTTTCTGAAAGGCAATTAAACCTACGCGATTTACCTTTATGTGCCCCTATACATAGTGTGTACATTCCACAGCTACAAGCTTAGTGATTTTAAATTGAGCTTGTGGGCATAATGATGCGAATTCATAAAGTTAGACAACGTTACGCACTAAGCGGATGGCAGGAGGCAGAATAAGAGTCCATAGACTTAGATGTGCGCTCATGTGCACGTGTTGCAGCTGGGATGTTGTGGAATTTCATTCACTAGAGCACAGTTTCTAACTTTGACCAGCAGGCAGTGCTGTGTAACGCAGAACTGGGAATCAGGGGCCTGTTCGGTAGCTCTTTGATAGCAGATCTAAAGGAACTATCCAACATAAATCATGTTACTCCCGCGACCCTGAGGTGCAAAGTGTTTGATTACTCATCACAGCAAGATCATCTAATAATAACTGTCACACAACATAGACACAAGCGACCAGGAGAACTGTAAAGTTCTAACCCAGATCATTTTAATGAAAACAAAACGTTCTTTAGATATTCATTGTTTTCTTATTCATTTATTGCATTTTCTCATCAAAAGCCATTCATTATATTTACATACGACTATAACAACAAAGTAGCTGCTGTGTCAAAACGACCACATAACCCTGGTGTGGACACCCTAACAAAAACTGAAAATTATAAGCTGCTACTGAACCTACTGCTGTACAGTAAATTCTAAGCTATATTTCTATTATTCACCATGTGGCCTATAGGGTTGGTGTGACATTACAATTCAAAGTGCACAATTCAGCAGTGCAGCGTTTCTGCTGCAGTTCGAAGCATATTGATTTCTATGGTTTTAACTCTTTGTTTCTGAACATTTCATCTACACTTTAACAATTCTAACGTTGTTATTCCCAGAGCGGAACAGAAAATGAATCCACCTTCCTGTCGTTACTGGGCTCACTGGGAGCTGTAGTCCTGAGTCCATTCTGCTGCTCTGGCGCTGCTCGCTGCTGTCTGCGCTGTTAGTGCTGCTGTTTGAGGCAAAATGATTTTTATGATTTGAGCTTCTTTCCTCTGAGCGTTTTAGATACACGTTAGCATTTTTAAAGATTTGTTATTCACGTAAAGCGAGTCACCAATAGTTCGCTGCTGCCGCCGCGGTGTGTATTGATTATGAAGAGCATATAAGTGGCAAGCTGCTTTGTGGAGCAGTGGGACCTTGGTGGACGGAGGAGGGGGGGCAGACGTGAGAGACACCACGGATGCACAGTGGGCCATGCGTGGCTGATTGTCATGACACAGCAGTATCTCTCTGCCTCCTGCTCTCTCTCTCTCTCCTTCTCTCTGGTGGGTCCAACCCCCACCCCCATCGATCGCCAGCAGCCTATTTTGTGTGGTGGCCTATTGGGTGAAGTCTCCTTTATCCTTATGGCCACTCCACCTTATTTAAACCAGCTAATCAACTATGTAATGTTAAGATTTTCGTGATTTGTAGTTATAAATACAAAAATCTTGATTTGATTTAAGGAAGTTCTCACTAAATCATATTGCTCATAGTGATGTAATATTTTGTAGTAACTTGAATATTTTCCAAAAATCTAAACTTACCTGATGAGCATCCCTATAGTAAAACATTATGTCGAGAGCATAAACGTATATGAGTCAAAGTAATGTATAGAAATGGGGGTCTTATGGTAGGAAACCCCCAGTAGACCTGGATTGTTTATAGTATAGGGCAGTAAAAACATCATTTCCAAGTTCTAGTGAGTCTGTGCTTCACAGTGAGCAACATTATTGTCACATGGACCATATATCATTTGGGGTTTGGTTTTTAAAATTTGTACAGGATATTTTGCTAAAGTATTTATTTAAACATGTACTGTAAATGTGCAAGCACTTGCAGAGCTAAAGGCCTCCTGGAACTGGTTTTTGCACCACATGAGCACCACTTCTTAAGCTGGGAGACCTCCTTTCATGCTTGTTTGGATAACAACAGGACATTTTACTCAAAAAACAGCAAGGGCTGATGGGAGCAAATTTGAACATATTAACACCAAAGAAACCATGGTGCTGTGGGTTCCATGTTATTGTCAGCGGCAAATTGGAACAATATCCATCATATGGTGTAGGATAAGAATTTAAAGCCACTTTTGTCTTTTTATTAAATTTCTACTGAGCCAACAGACTGCACTATAAACCTAGTACATGATCAGGAAGTTCATATGGAAATGCATGTTCTACATGTACAGTATGTTCTATGTCTGCTACTGTGAGGCCCTACAGGCAGGAAACAGCAGCAGAGCGCTGGGGAACATATGGAGCAATTATCCTGGAAGGGATAGTTAGCTATGAGCCTGTGTTTCTCAAACCATGTCACCCTGTCAATCTCAGGATTGTTTGGCTTTTGCCTTGTCCTATATAGCAGCCTGACACTGAGCACAAATCTCTTGAATAGTTATGCAGCCACTCGTGCACTTCAACATTAGAGCAGCAAGGTTATGTGCAAAATATAATCAAACTTATTCAGATCCCTGGATTAACTGAGCAACTTCTCCAAAGGGTGAAGATTTAACAAGTTATACTCTTCCCACGTGCACGGCTGTCAGTGGCTGTGGCAGAAGTGCTGCTCCACAACATGTTCAGATCTTAGGAAATAAGATGAAAACATTCATCACCTTTAGCTGTCTTTGTCAGTGTGACTGCAGTTACATTAGCTTACCTGCAAGTGTAAGATGAAAGATTGCAGGTGTGTTATGTTGTTGAAAAGATTGCAGCCAGTGTTTGGCTGTTACCTTAATATGTGATGTACTGATTTACTCATATTGTAGGAACCTCTTTGAAGTTTAGTTCTTAAGTAACATGTCCCATACTTGTAGACGACAGTAGTAATGGAGAAGCCCATTTGTTTTTCTTATTACTATATGAAACTTTAATGTACTGTATCTATTTCAGCCATATCTTTTAGTATTTCTACCGTATAGTAATCCCATTTAGCTATGCATTTAACTCTTTAGCCATTATTTAGCAAAATAGTTCAACTATTTTTCCATTAATCTTAGCTAACTATTTAAACCGTTTATCAATACTAAACTGTTATCTACAACACAATTATTTCAGTGTTTAATCTGTTATTTACTTAACAATTTAAAGTGATTATTCATTACATTTAGCTAATTATTTCAACCACTTTTACATTTATTTTGTCTCACTGCACTTTCAGTCACAATACCTCAGTTATTGCAGTTGCACATATAAAGTAAATGAATGTGTATATATATCTTTAATCAAATTGTAATTTTTATTTTTGTAATTTTTTTCAAGTACTGTACCTCTTGCAACTTCAAAAGTACACCTTGGAATATAAGTATCCCACTCCTGTAGTTTCCTCCTCAATTCATTTCCTGCTATGTTTTCTTTCTTTTTTCCATATATCCATCCATTAGCTATAACATTTATCCTTATGGTTACAGGGGTACTTCACTTGATCCTAGCTGACACTAAGTGAGAGGTGGGATACACTGTGGACATGTCTTTGGACTGTCGGAGGAAGCCAGAGTACCCTGAGGAAACCCAGGCAGGCACAGAGAAACTCCACACAGAAAAGCCCAAGTCGGGCAGCAGATTTGAACCCAGAACCTTTTTGCTCTGACGCAACAGCGCTAATCACCGTGTGGCCTCCTAACTTTGTTGTAGAAGGCCCAAAGGCTGTCACTGGAAAGTTTTCAACACATAATTTCATTCATCTCAAATGTTGCCATGACTTTTCTCGAATGTCATCAAACTGCAATATAAATAGATCATATTTATCCAGATCAGATTTGTTTGTTACTTTAGCATATTGCATCATTTATTATGGGGTATCAGCTTGGCCGTTCAGAAATTCTGCATTTTTGATGTTGAAAGTGTAAACAGTAGGCTTGGGTTTAAACTGGATCAATTTTTTAAAGTCTTCAAGTCTATGAATTTAAAGAAGTTGGAAATGATTGCATTCTAGTTGAATGGCTAGGCTATATATATTAGAGCTTGGTGTAGTTTAGCTACAATCACAAGTCAGCAGCATCTCAAGACATGGTTGTAGAGCATGCTGTGCAGTTTCTAGACAGCTCAATCAGAAAACCACCAAAAACAGCATGGGCCAGATACACACCACTGTAGATTCATGACTAAAACTGCACTAAGAGAGAAGTAAGCCTACGCAGGTTTCATCAGATTGTATGTCCAGTTCTCTTTCTCTGTTCTAAATCTGAATGGTCATGAAATTGGGTGCACACGCACAAGCTTTTTTCCACTCCCACTTTTAACCATAAATACATAGATATGAACCCACCCCTAATCAATCATTTGCATAGAAAAAACATCCAGAGAAGGACCAGCACCTCCAGCAGCATCTACAGCAGGGATGTGTGTGCATCCATGCTCATTTTGTTAATTTTATCATAAGGAAAAATGATTCAAGCGCCTGTGCAAGTAGCAAAAAGGCTGTACTTGACCTCCTCATTAAAGTAGAGGTGTGTTTTGGGCAAAACATGCAGTTATCTGATCAGTGTGTAACCTCATATCCCCTTTAAGAGACATGTGAGTTTGAACGTTTTGTGGATTGCTTGCATACTGGCGGATTTGCCAGGTAGGAAGTCAGTAAGATTTTCCACTGAGGAAACACTGTCTGACATGTTTGTTTATATACCAGCATGTAAGAGCAACATTTGTCAGCTAATTAGTTTAATTTCTTGTGGTCATAAGTCAATTTTATATATATGATCACAAATCAAAATGGGATTTATTATAAGTGCATATATATTGATGAC